CTGAGCATCTTCCTCAATCTCCACGTCTCCCGTCAGCTACTAAACTAATTTCTCTGTTTTCCTTCAACTTCAAAACTGAGTTGCTGTTTCCACATCCCTTCCTCAACACACTCAAATTGGACTTCTCACAGCTCCCCATCACTCCCCATCACTCGTATTACTACCTGAACCATCCCCCCAACCTCCCGTCCGTGGAAAACTTGTCTTCCAGGAAACCGGTCCCTGGTGCCAAAAAGGTTGGAGACTGCTCATCTATGTGCTTATGATTCCAAAATCTCTGCCTCCAGCCCTGACTTTTCCCCAAATCTTGACTATCCAACTGCCATCTTCACATTTCCACATGGGTGTCTAACAGGCAACTCTGATATAATTTATCCATGAAAGAATTTGAGTTTTCCTCCCAAACTTGCTCCTTCCTCAGGCTTCCTAGTTTTAGTCATTAGCATGAGCATTCACCCAGTTGTTCAACCTATAAATATAGTAGTCAGTCTTGATTCTCTTTTTTCTTCATTATCTATATTCAATATATCAGCAAATCTTGTCCACTTTATCTCCAAAGCATATTCCAAATTCATCTACTTCTCTCCATTTTCATCACAGTCACTGTGGTCCAAGCCACCATTACCTGAATGACTGCAATAGCTTCCCAGCTGACCCATCTGGAACCATTCTACAATCCACACTTGACAGGGAAGCCTGAATAATCTTGTCACATTCTTGTAGAATGTACAAGTACATGGCTTCCCATTGTACTTGAAATAAAACCTAAATTCCTCAAAGCAAGATGTAACATGGCTTCTGCCTACCTCTCCAAACTCACTTTGAATCACTTTCCTCCTCATCTCTCCATTCCAGCCACACTGGTCTTTCTGTCCCTTGAAAACGTGAAATCTATTCCCACCCTAGGACCTTTGCACTGGCTGTTCTTCCTGGAATGCTCTTCCCCCTGATCCTTGAATGACTGTTTCCTTTCCATCATTAACATCTCACTGAAATGTCAGTACTCAGAGAGGCCCTTCCTGACCACAAAACTGAAGTAAGCCCACCCAGCCACTCCCTATCACATCACCCTGTTCTCTCATATATGTTTTCCTCTCTGTGTGTCTGACTCTGTTCTGGATGGTAAGTCCCACAAGGGCTAGGACCTTGTCTTTCTTCTTCACCACTACATCTGCAGGACTTAGAACAGTGCCTGAACATGGCAGTGCTTGATATCTGTTGTCGAAAGAGTGAATGAATGGATAAATGAGTTAGTAACAGAGCTAGGACAAGAACCCAGGCCTCCTGCCTTCCACTTCTGTGTTCCTCCCCCATGCCATGTCAAGTTGTAGTTTTCACCAGTTTGATTGCTTTCTTGCTGTTCAGCAGATGCTTGGCGTCCTTCAACTCTCAGCTGGTTCCAGCTCCTAGTGATAAACTAAATGACCACAAAGGAGCAGGAAGGAGAGGAAAGAAGGCATCTGAATAAATCACGAAGTATGTGGTCATCCCCCAAAATAATGAGAATTAAACACTCAATCATCCAGTTACATTTAGTAAACACTTATTACCTACCAGGCATTAGGCAATTTACCAGGGACAAAAAGACAAACCTACTCTGAAGGATCTGACAGTCTCCAGGAGGAGATGGTGGCCCTAGTGGTGATGCTTGGCATGGTGTGATGGGCCTGAGAACAAAGTAACACGTGCTGTGGAGACACAAAGTAGAGAGTGATGAACACTGCACGGAGTGGGCAAGAATTCAGGAAGACAACCAGAGAACGGAACTTTTGAACTGAGTCTTAAAGAGTGAATACCTGCTATTGAAAACTCATAGTCTGGGTTTTCACATGGAAAGTACAGTTGTGTTTCCCCTTCATTTTACTTGACAAAAGAAAAGTTACTTTAGAAAGGCATACAGGATGACTCTGGTAGTTGAAAGAACCACATATTAATAAACAGAGAAATTTCCATCTGGGAAACTTTTTTTTTTTTAAGATGGGATAGTTCTCTATATCTTGCTACAAAAAGTCCACAAAAACAATTTCATCTTCCCTGAGGGTCGTATGGTGAAACCACTGAGGCAATTACCTACATGATGAAAGAACTACTAAAGAACTACTAAACTACTACTAAACGCAACTAAAGGACCACTTCCCTATAAAACCACAGGCCATCCCCTTGAAGAAATGTGCTGTCTTGTAAAAACAAGGTTTCACAGCAAGTGAAAGAATGAAGTAGATTTATGTGAATTGATATCAAGAGATACATTATTACACAGACAAGAAAGCTTCAGTACACTGGATATTGTTGCTACTATTGTTATTATGTTGGGATCTGTCTAGGACTACCAGGAAGGATAAGTGCAAATGTAACAATCTCTGAGGTGTGGGATAATGAGACACACTTTCTGAGGCCTACATTTTGGTACTATTTTAATTGTTTACAACAAATTGCACTCTTTTGGAATTTAAACATAAAGACTCTTTAGAACACAGTTCTGATTGGTTTTATAATGCTTAAGAACTTGTGCTTGTCTTGACATTCCAGAAACATATAAAAAGAGGAGTTCCCTAAATTATATCATTTGCTAACACCTGCAGAAAAAAATAAACTGAGACCCAGAAGGATAATGTGATTTTTCTCACACTATGACTCCTAGACTAGTACCTTCAGCTCCACAGTTCTTGATTTCATGCTGAGGATTCAACTATATAAATATATCAATCTTAACTTACACATTTGGAAATTTAGCAATACTGCTTTGTGGAAAACTGTGCAACAATTTATTGTAATAGTTACAGGCCAGTACTTTCCCCAGAAAACAATTCAAATAGAAGTCTCTTGAATATTACCTTTAGTCCTTGTGCATATCTTAGGATACTCAATAAGTTCTTTGAAAAGATAGGTCCCTTCCATTCAGTTTATAAGTAGTTACTGAGCACTTATGATGTGTTCTAGCCACTAGGGGTACAGCAGTAAGAAAATGAGACAAATTCTCTGTACTTGTGGAGCTTAGATCCCAGTGGGGAAAACACCATAAGCAAGAAAAAACATAAATAAAGGCTATAATTTCAGGTAAAGATACAGTAAGGATATAATGAACCAAGTAAAATGATAGTGACAAGAGTGCTATTTTTGAAAGGTCAGGAAGGCCCTTAAAGGAAGGACATTAGATCAGAGACCTGGACGAAGGAGGGAGCCATGCAGAGTTCTGAGGGGAAAGCATTACAGGAGTACAGTCAGAGTCAGTGCCCTGAACGGGAAGAATTCCTTCTTTTCCTGAAAAGGTAAAGAACATCCCAAAGAAAGAGCTCTCAAAGTTTGGTATGTTCAGGTTTCACTCTTGTTGCTGTTGTTATAAGGTTTAAAGGTCTAGTGCTGTAAATTTCTCTCTTGCTTACAAATTTGAGAATGAATTTTGTTTAGGAATATAAGTCTTGTACAAAAGTACTGTCTTATCTATGTGTCACCTTCTGCCAGTGTGGTGTGTGTGTGTGTGTGTGTGTGTGTGTATATATATATATATATATATATATATATATATATATATAATGGAATATTACTCAGCCATAACAAAGAATGAAATACTGCCATTTGCAGCAACATGGACCTAGAGATTATCATACTAAGTGAAGTAAGTCAGAAAGAGAAAGACAAATACCATATGATATCACTTTTATGTGGAATCTAAAATACCAATTTATCTACAAAACAGAAATAGACTCACAGACATAGAGAGCAGATTTGTGGTTGCCAAGGAGGAGGGGAGGTGGGGGGAGGGAAAGATTGGGAGTTCAGGATTAGCAGATGCAAACTATTATATACAGGATGGATAAACAAAAAGGTCCGGGGCTTCTCTGATGGCGCAGTGGTTGAGAGTTTGCCCCGGTCCGGGAGGATCCCACGTGCCACGGAGCGGCTGGGCCTGTGAGCCATGGCCGCTGAGCCTGCGCGTCTGGAGCCTATGCTCCACAACGGGAGAGGCCACAACAGTGAGAGGCCTGCGTACCGCAAAAAAAAAAAAAGGTCCTGCTGTATAGCAGGGGAAACTATATTTAATATCCATGATAAACCATAATGGAAAAGCATATGAAAAAGAACATATTTTTATAACTGAGCCAATTTGCTGTACAGCAGAAATTAACAACATTGTAAATCAACTATACTTCAATAAAATAAAATTAAAAAATCTTCTGCCTATCACAAAGGCACAGAATCCAACGCCTAAGAGTCTTTCCAAAGTTGTTCATTCCACAGAGAGAGACGAGGCCCAACCAAAAGTGCCCCTGGGCTTAAATCTGCTCCCCATTCCCACTCCCACCCCAAGCAGAACGGGCTGCCTAGAATATGTAGCTGGGAGAGTCATCCAAGACTCAAGAGAGAGGAGCACCTTTGGTGTTCTCAGCTTTTAGCCCCTACACACCCAACTCTGGCGGGGACAGAAATGACAGCCTATCCTTCACAGTGGGGAGACCGAAGCTAGGAGAAGTGGGTGGCTTGCCCAGGATCACACAGAAAGCCAACTCTGTTTGCTAACCTTCTCTCTGTTGCCTGTGTCATGTTCCAGGCCAGGGACCACATGGGTGGAATTCAGGCTCCATTTTCAGGAAATGTGACTGTTGCTTTTTCATTTACACAAAAATGAAAAATAAATAACAGATGTTTGAACACATGTTGCAACTCATCCTACTGGAACTTAAAAGTGCATTCTGACTGAGAAAATTAAATTAGAAAATCCACACAGCAAAAAAGATATTTTGAATGAAATGCACTTTGTCTTTTTTTCTCTCTCTCTCTCTCACACACAAACAATATCTCATTGTTTCTTCTTCAGGGAGCAGCTGTGAAGGAAACTGGGGGAGGGAGATGAACATAACATCCCATCTTTGTGTTTCATACAGAGTGAAGCTTTTAGGCCAGCCTTCCTGAACTGGAGGGGGTGTGGCATGCATTAAAATTAAACATCAATGACCTGAGAAGCTTATAAAATAGCTTGGGAGAAGCCAGTCACCAAGAGAAGGCATCTCGAATTGGATGATCTTGCATGTGGAAACTGCTTTCATCTTGATAAAAAAGGTATGTACTGTGGTATTAATTTTCATTTATGATAAATAATGCTTAAAATAGAGACAGTCTTGAGGTTTCATTGCCCCTTTTCAGCTAAAAATAGTAACTAACACAACTGAGGACCTTTGGCCAGTTGCTTTGCAGACTTGGTCTCATTTTTCCATAAACGACCTTACAAAGAAGATATTGTTAGTGCCATTTTTCAGATGAGGAGACTGAAGTTCAGATATCCTAAGCAACAGGCCTAAGGTAAGACCACCAACAAATGCCAGAACTGGGGTGCCAATGCAGTGCTGACTCACCTCAAAGTCTTCTGCTGGCACTACGCACCCCCCTCTATACTATATGAGACAATGAGGAATTGTTCCATACACCAATACTGTGATAGATGAATTCTCAGGGGGTTGTTATCCACTGTGCATTACAGTAAAATTGACCGAAAAGTGAATTGGAATGCACTATGTGAATAGAAAATGCATTTAATATTAATAGAATGAATTATTATTAAATTAAATTAAAGTAATAGAAAATGCAAAAATATTTTCTTCAGAAGATATGTTTTCTTGTTAGATTCAATAGCGAAATGGTTTTTAAGATGCATTTACTTGTGGAAATGTATTTTTTTTTTTTGGTCATGTGAAATCTAAAAGCCTAGTCCTTAATATTCTGCAGCTTCTTGAGACCAGGCACCAGGTCCAGGCTAACATGCAGGTGTGTAGACTCTTAGGAAACCTGACCTAAGTTCTGGCTTCACAGCTTGTCAGGAAGTAACCTCACTGAGTACACAGAGAATTGTCAGCACAGGACACTTCCAGTTAGGGTGTTGTGAAGATTCAATGCACATGTAAAATACTGAAGCCAGGGCTCCTCCCTGGAGAAGCTCAGTGAGTGTGAGCAGTGGTCCACAGAGTCAATTCTGGCCCCGTGTGGATGCACCATAACCTTAGTAGAATTATTTTTTAATTATTTAAGATTTAGTTAAAATAATATTTAAATTATATCTTTTTTTTAAAGTATTTAAACTCTCCTCATTAGGACAGTCTTCCCATTAGTATTAGGAGACAATGCAAAAATAAGTCATGCATACCCAAGTTCATAGATATATGTTAATAATGTGATTTACCCTCAGAAGGTGCTCAGTAAGCACTGAGTGAAGTAGAATGCAAGGGATACTGCAAAAAAATGATGAATGTTATCAACTCTTTCTCTCACAAAAAGTTTTCATCATAGGAATAAAACTACTGCAATAAAGAAGCATCTTTGGAAGAGTAGCAGGCAAGGGCAATTAGTTTTGCTCTGAAATCCTCCTACAGAGCTAAAGAACATGTTTCAGCCCACAATAGAATATTCTGTAACAAGATATTTGTCAGAGTAAGACGGGGAACTGACTTTTGGTGGGACTGTCACGTGGTGAAATGAGATTTATCAGGTACAGAGGTAGGTGTTTACTGAAGCCACCGAAGGTGGGCACACAGAAGGAAGCATGGCTCAGGAGTGTGACAGAATGGAGAAGTGGAGATGGGACCCGAGTCCCAGCGCTCTGCCCCTTCTGGGCCTCAACTTTCCCATCTGTACACCTGAGGGGTGGGGTTGGATAAATGACCTCTGAGGTCCTGTCCTGTTTGGCGGAGGGGGTGCCTGTAGAATGTGTAGCCATCCTCTGGGCTTAGAATTCCTGGGCAAGGCACTGAGCTTGGAGCCTACTAGGGGCCAAAAGCAGAACTTCAGTGGTTCTAAGAACCTCTTGGAAAGAAATGCAAATTTTTGTGGATTTAGGCTGGATTTTGGCATCCATCATCCCCCAAAAGGTTAAAAGACAAGTGTTGTTTACCTGGTGGTAGGGGCTGACGGGAAGTGGAGCCTCAGAGACTAAGGAAAGGGCCCCACAGCAGACGTGCTCAAGGCAGGGACTCAGGGACCACCCTTCCTCCCCCCAACCTCGCATCAGCTTTTACTCATTAGGTAACTGTTCTTTTGAAAAACGGGCAACAAAACTTCCAGAAGAAAAGCTATTGATTATTAAAGGTTATTTGGAGGTTTAGAGATTCATAAGAAAGTGGTTATAATTATTCCTGTTATGACACATCCTTTTAAATATTCAGATCTGAGAACATCTTGCTTGCATTGATTCAGTCCTCTTCATCACAGGCAGAAAGGCAAAGCAAAGCGTTAGAAATAGCTCGCGTGCAGCTACAGGCAAGGAGTCGCAAGGAAGAGAACAGACTGAGAGCAAGTCAGTGAAAGAAGCCAGCAGCAGCCCAGGCTCCTACCCTGTCAACAGCGCTGCAGCCCTCACCCCTACCCACTGCCCCTCCTCAAAGAAGCTTCCATGCCCAAGGGTGCTGGGCTCAAATGCTTTTTGCACAATTACAAGTCAGCTACTGGTCCTTCTCTGGTTAAATGTACAGCATCTATGAAAAATACCCTCAACAGCATGTCAAAGGAAGGAAGGGAGGAAGAAAAAGAAATTCAGGAAACACAATATTTTGCTTCTGCTTTTCATAATAATAACTAGCATTTGTTGAGCATTTTCTCTGTCAGACACTGCTCTAAATGCTCTCCTTATATTTTCTCATTTAATTCTCATGAAACTTCATGAGGTTGGTATGATTATTATTCCCACTTAATAGCCAAGGAAACTAAAGCATCCATTGGACACAATTATACTTAGTATGTGCAGAGCCAGAATTCAAATCCAGTCAGGGTGACCCTGGAGTCCCCAGCATGCTGCTCCCTGTTAAAGTTCCCAGGCCTACTCTTGGGTTGGTAAACAGCCAAGCAGATGGGGGCAGGGTGGGGAAGTGGAGTCAGGGAGGCATTTCTTTGATGACTCTCACTGGGCACTGAATGTAGTGAATGGTTTGTTTTTGGTTTTTTCTCTCATGGTTCACTTGATGGCTTCACTCCCCCCCCTTTGCCTACCCATCCCCAACACACACACATTGTTTCTGTTCATACAGTAAGTACCCACTGCACCTGGCACTGCGAGGTTCTGTGGGTGAGTCCAGGGAGAATCAAAAACGATGCCCGTCCTTGAAAAATGCATAATTAGGTGTGTAGGTTCAGGGGGAGCTGGCAAAATAAATCCAACAAACTCTGATACCAGGCAGAATGTGTTGTAATGGTGGCACAAAAGCTTCTAGAGAGGCTCGCAGGGGTGGAGGGCCTCACAGTGACACTGATGACTGAGGTGGCCCTGGCGGATGAGGGGCTCAGACGGGCTGAGTGGGAGGCTGCGCACAGAGGGACCGGCCAGCCCAGAAATTTTCCTCTGGGGACTCTGTGCCCTCAGGAGACTCCGAGTGCCTCCAGCTGCTTTGTTCTCCCCACTCCAGGTCCACCTCCAGCCACCCAGCTCCAAGATGGTCCCAGCTCTGCTGCTGCTGCTTCCTGCCCTGGCTGGACTCTTCGGAGCAGCTGAGGGACAAGCTTTCCATCTCGGGAAATGCCCAAATCCTCCAGTGCAGGAGAACTTTGATGTGAATAAGGTGCGGTAAAAGGCTAACCTCCCGCTTGTTTTGCTGTCTCCTGTTTGCATAAGCATCCTACCAGGTTCGGTTTTATTTTTCTGCTTTAATGGCCACAGCAAGCCTTGGGGTAGGTACTTATCTTACTGGGAGCTCCCCCAAAGCAGACCCTGAGACAAGAACTGGGGAGCAGAGATGTTTTAGAAGATGATCCCAGGAAGCCTGAGTGGGCATGTGGGGAAACAGACAGAGAAGGCAGGAAAGCAGTAAAGCGTGAGTTCATGAGCAGGTTACTCTGTGAACAATGGGGTTCAATCCTGCTGGGGATCCTCTGAGGAAATATGTAGAATGTGCCTCAGGTTGTCCCACGGACGGATGTAGGTGGGCAGTGGGAGCTCCCATGGCACTGGCCAAGCCTGTGGCAGAGAAGGAGACCCAGGGGCTCCAGGTGGGAAGCTGGCAGTGTGTATGGGAAGCCTGCTGTGATGGAGGTGAGCCCAGAGGTGGGCTGAAAGGACATGGGACAGGGCATTAACAGCAGCTGCTGCAGAAATATTATCCTCACTCTACAGCTGAAGAAGCTGAACGTCAGAGAGCTTGCAACCCACTCAGTTCACACAGCCAGTAAATGCAGAGTAGGATTCGAAACTAGGCTTCCCAGGAGTGCAGGACCCCCACAGGTTACTCAAACAGAGCCCAGGAGAAGACAGCACTCCCCCAAGGGGCTTTCCTGTTACCTGCACTAAAAAGATATTGATAGAATCAACTCCCTATTTAAGGTAAGGATTGTCTTTTCACCTTATTGATGTGTCTTTTGAGCACAAAACTTTTTAATATTAATGATGTCCAATTTATCTATTTTTTCTTTTGTTGCTTGTGCTTTTGGTGGCCTATCTAAAAAACTTTGCCTAGTCTAAGGTTATAAAGATTTACTCCCATATTTTCTTCTAAGTGATTTACAGTTGTAGTTCTTACATTTAAGTCTTTAATTCATTTTAAGTTAAATTTTGTATATCATGTGATATAGGAGTCAAACTTCTTTCTTTGGCATGAGGATATCCAGTTGTTCCAGGACGGTTTGTTGAGAAGACTATTCTTTCACCATTGAATAGTCTTGACACCCTTGTTGAAAATCAATTGACTGTATGTGTAAGAGTTTATTTTTGGACCCTCAATTCTATTCTGTTGATCTATATGTCTATCCTTATACCAGCACAGTATAGTCTTGATTACTGTAGCTTTGTAGTAAGTTTTGACGTCAGAATATATGAGTTCTTCAACTTTGTTCTTCTGGCTATTCTGGGCCCTTTGTATTTCCGTATAAATTTTAGGCTCATTTTGTCAATTTCTGCAAAGAAGCAAGTTGGAATTTTGATAGAGACTGTATTAAATCTGTTGGTCAATTTGGAAAGTATTGCCATCTTAAGAATTTTAAGTCTTCCTATCCATGAACATAGGATGTCTTTCCATTTACTTAGGTCTCCTTTAATTTATTTCAACAATGTTTTGTAGTTTTCAGAGTATGTTTTATGCTTCTTTGGTTAAATTTTTTCATAAGAATTTGATTCTTTTGATGCTACTATAAATGGGATTCTCTTAAACTAATTTGCAGATTGGTCATTGTAAGAATAGAAATACATTTTATTTCTATATATTAATTCTTGTATCTTTAACCTTGCTGAATTCATTTGTTAGTTCTAATAATTGTGTGTGTGTGTGTGTATTCCTTAGGATTTTCTGTATATAAAACCCTGTCATCTGGAAATGGAGATAGTTTTACTTCTTCCTTTTCATAATTATCTTTAAACATTGCATTCTCCTCATAGAGATAGAGCAACGGAGACCCCCAAAGACAAAAAGACCTTCACAAAAATATTATGAGATCATGATGGAACATGAGATGAAAAGCAATCTTCCACCTCTTGAGTTTCTTCCTTTCTGGAAAATCGTGTGTCCTCGTTTTTAATTATGGAGCATTAAAGTCACCTTAACAATAATAGAGCTATTTTAAATGCATTGTATATAGTGGAGATTTTCTGAGGATGCCTATGAAACCAGCTGACCTTTAAACTTATTCTTCAGTGCTTTAAATGCCTGTTAAGTTCAGTGATTTTAATTGAAAGATGCCCTTTAACAAATGAGTGGAAATTTTATGCCCTAATTGTGGGTAGATATTTTAGCAGAGAGCCAGGTGACCGAAACAATACTGCTACCTATTTGCAGTATGCTCTCATTTCAAATTCTGACTTTTTTGAAGGTGACTGCATCTCCTTGATTTTGTTTTGTTGAGTAATATATTTTTAAATTTCTAAAATAATTTCAATCAATATTTTGACTAGGTAAATATATTCACATGGTTCAAAATTCTAAAGATGCAGAAGAACATACAATGAAAGCTTTCCTTTCCACGCCTATATCCCAGCCTCAGTTTTCCTCCCCAGTAGCAATCAGTAAAGACAGCTTATGGTGTATCTTTTGGGAGATAATAAGTACATATTTTAAAAAGCACATACATAACTGCAGTAGGAAGAATGATGTCCATGCCATATTCCCCAGAATCTGCAAATTGTTTCTTTACATGGAAAAGGGGATTTTGAAGATGTGATTGATTAAAGTAATGGAGCTTGAGATGGCAAGAGTATCCTGCATTATCAGGTGGGTCCAATCTAATCATTAGAAGCAAAGAACCTTACCCAGCTGTGGTCAGAGAGATGTGACGATGGAAGAAGAGTGAAAGAGATGCCGTGTGAGGAATTTGACCTGCTTTTGCTGCCTCTGAAGATGGAGGAAGGGATTCACAAACCAAGGAATGCAAACGGCCTCTAGAACCTGGAAAGGGCAAGAAGACAGATTCTCCGCTAGAGTCTCTGGAAAGGAATGTAGCACTGCCAGCACTTTGATTTTAACCCAGTGAGACCCGAGTCAGACTTCTGATGTACAAAACTATGAGGCCATAAATTTGTGGTGTTTTAAATTTGTGGTAATTTGTTACAGCAGCAATAGAGAACTGATATAATAACCTTTTCCCCCATTTTTACATAAAAGTTAGTTTAATATATACGCTATTTTGCGCCTGGCTCTTTTTCCATTAAATGTATCTTGGAGATAATTACATATAGCTCTTTTAAAAGAGGGTGTATAACATTCCATTGTATGGATGTACCATCATTTATTTACCCAGTCCCCTACTAATGCTCACTTAGGCCGTTTCCTGTCTTTTATTATTACAAATAGGACTGCAATGAATAACCTTATGCATACATTGTTTCTTAATTTCAGGAGGATACCTTCTCAGAGGTGAAATTGTTGGGCCAGAGTATATGTAGTTCTAGTTTTGCTAGATATTGCCAAGTTGCCCTCATGAAGGCTGTAGATTAGAGCAGTCTCTATGCCCAGCAATGTATGGAAGCAGGAGCATGCCTCTCTCCCCTCACCCTCACCCGTGCAGTTGCTCACTTCCTTTAAAGATGACTCTGTGCACCAAAATTAGGGACAGAGAGCAAGCCCCCAGGGGAGGAATAATACAGGTCTTCTAAATCTTGACCACCTTCCAAAAGCCTTTGTGACCAACTCCCTGTGTGGGGTTATATGAGGAGAATTTGACCAACTCTGGAGACCCAACTCCCCACAGTAAACACATCTGACTTTGCACACAATTCAAAGACGTCTTGGAGAATCATAAAATATTTGAGATGGCACCTTACATCATCTAAACCAATCCCTTCCTTTTACGGAGTTTAGAATTTCAGATAGATTTTGACTGAAGGGGACACTGAAAGCATAGCTAAATAAAAAGCACTTTAGGAATGGACTGTGGCATTCAACCAATGCCCACACATCCGATTCACTTATTACCATTTGAGTCAATATCTTGCTCAGTGGCTGCTGGGAACAATGCAGCCCATTTTGCCTGGTTACCCCAGGAAAGGGCTCTGCTCTGAAAGACAACAATGGGGAAGAGTTTGCAGGTCCCCAGAGAGCCACAGGGTTTGCTCTGCTTGTCGTTGTCTCTGCAGTATCTTGGAAGATGGTATGAAATTGAGAAGATCCCAGTGAGCTTTGAGAAGGGAAGTTGCATCCAAGCCAACTACTCGCTAATGGAAACCGGAAACATCAAAGTGATAAACAAGGAGCTGAGGTGAGAGGCTGTGCTTTCAAAGGCAACACACATCCGGGAGGGAGCCCTGCAGAGACTGTCCTGGGGTGACTGGTGTCCTTGCCGTCTAGTGTGGAGAGGATGCAGACATTGCTGGGTCTGGGCTGCCTACTCAGGACAGGTCCTGAGAGGAAAGCTTTTGGCAGGCAGGATGGTAGGGACTAGAAGTCACTCATTCATTTCCATGACCACTTGCTGAGCACCTTATTGTGTCCCACACCCTGTGAGAGGTCCTAGGGACTCAATGGTAACACAAACTGCAAGGTTCCTGCTCTCACTGCAAAACAGACCCTCTGGTAGCAAAGGACAGCAAAGGACCCTCTTGTCTGACCTCCAAACCAAGAGAGAAGCACTTTCTATATCGTCTGCTGATTGAGGGCATCCAGCATAGCTTGAATCCTTCCAGAAACTGGGAGCTCAACATCTTCCATGACAATTTATCCCATCTCCAGACAGCTTTAACTCTTAGAAAACTCCTTTTCTTATTAAGCAAGAATCAGATACATACATAGTCACACTCTAGGTTGTGTGAACAGGAGAACCTACAGAAAGATATTTTTCTATTACTTCTAACAGACTGATATTTGATCCCAAAATTCATACTTTAGAATGCAAATATAAACTTTAAAAGAAACCTAGGAAGAACTCCTACCCACCTGCCATCAACAAAGATAAGAGTAACAATAAACAATGGTAACTAATATTAATTAAGCATTTCCTATGTGCAAGGCACTGTTCTGTATGTGTATGTATATATACATGTGTGTACATATACATCTATTTATGTATGTACATGTAAATGAGCATAGGTATTCATTTAATCCCTTTAGCAACCTGAGGTTGGTACTATTATTAACCCTCTTTTTATGGATGAGGAAAATGTGGTACAAAGAGGTAAAGTAATTTGCCCAAGGGTCACACAGCTTATAAGTGATGAAGCTGAGATTCAACACCAGGGAGAAGTGAAATGGGGAAGAGACCAGAAGATATATGAAAGAGGCAGGGCATGAATGGTTGCCATTCCTGTTTCCTAAGTTGTCTAAGAACTGTGTTCAACTGCAAGAAAACAATTACCACCCAGCCTGGAAGTTACTCAGGCTCAGAGAGGCTTTGCATGGCCATCTTCTTACCCATCAAGCTTCCTGTGAGCCACAGGACAGTGGGCTGACTCTCTGACCCCGCATAAACCAAAGAAATAAAGTAAGAATCTTGAGCAACTCTAAAGAAAAATCCCACTCATTTCAGAGCGCAGTAAGGGCTATAGGAATTGAGATGCAGACCCCCAGAAGGTCTCACAGGAATTTTATAGGTCCCAAAGTAACAATGACTTTATTTGAAATATTTTGTCCCATTCTAAGTCCAGAGTCAGACAATGACACAGATCCCAAAACCCATCAGATGCCCCCAGCTCTCCTTCTGAGTTGGCCAGGAATCATCTTTAACTGTACCCGGAGTGTTAGGTCACTCTGCCTCTAGGGTCACTTCTACTTAAGAGCAAAGGCATATGGAGAAAGGTTTGTTAGTCAGGAAAATGATATAGATTCTGCAGAACAAGCAGGGGGCATGGCAGGGAGCCTGAGCAAAATACCCTTAGCCAGTGTCAGAATGCTGGGGCCAAAGCAGCTGGCTCAGGGCTGGGAGCTGAAGGGGTTAGGTGCCCAGTTTCAAATCCTGGTTCTACCACTTACTAATCATGTGATCTTAGGTTAGTTATGGTAATTTTCTAGGTCTCAGTTTCCTCCTCTGTAAATTGGCAATAATCATAGTACGTCCGTCCATAAGGCTGTGTGAACATTAAATGGGGTAACACATGTAAAGCACTTAGAACAGTGTTTAGCATGTGGTAATCATCTAATATTACCTATTATTGCTAATATGCTGCTACCCTTGAAAATACAAATGCATTTTTCCTATGAACAAATTGCGAGTTTATGATCAGAGACTGGTATTTTGAAAACTGTCCTGGAGCAAAACATAAATGATGGTGAAAAGGGGGAAAGTCTGTTGGGAAGAGACTGGTTTGTTGCTAAGCAACTGCATGCAGATAGAAATGGACCGTCTTCCGTCTTAACAGGTTGACTCCCAGGTGAGAGCAGGGCACGGTCTCCAGCCCTACTCAGTGATAAACAGACTATGCAATCCAGGAGCATCAGAGAACATTTCCCACCCCCAACCCCCTTACCTGCTGCTTATTGTCCGGTTTCTAGGATATCCATCCCCACTAACCATAGCCTACTGACTTTCTATCACATGCCATTGCTGCAATTTTAGTTTGTCTGCCCCTCTGAGAACTGATGAACAGGAAACTCCTCTGTTGGCCTGCTAGGAAGAGCACCCTCCTTCATAGCCTCAATCCCTAGGTCTTTCCCCTTTCCCTTAGATCCAGGGGGTCATTGGAAGTTATCCAGAAATGGGGCCAGCTCCCTTCAAAAGAGTGAAAGTATTTCATCCATCCAAGCAAAAAGACCATCGCTTTTAAGACACCACCATTTTATATACCACTAAAAAAGAAATGACACTAACAATTGTAAGGTGGCATTAATTGTAAGATGCACATTTCTTCACATCTAATGTCTCTGAGATCTGGATGCCTGGTAGACTCCCTGAAGTGAGGTAAATGTTTCCTCACTGCCTGCTTTGACCTGGCCTAGGTCAGAATCTCCCACACTCGATCAGAAGCTTGCTGAACTGGATGGGGTCTCAGAGCTATGAACCCAGGCATATGAACCCCTTTATGGGACAAATGATGCCACGTGATATCACTGAGGCCCAAAGAGGGGGAAACTTGGCAGATCTCCAGATTCCACATTTTACATGATTTTCAGTAATCCAGTCAGTCCTTATTTTTTCCTTTCTCATTTTTAAAGAAGCGAATCTTTGTTCTGTGTTGGGTTGTTTTATTTGCTTGTTTTTCCCTTCCCTTTTCCTCCCTCTTGGTTTGGAGCCCAGGAGCAGCAAATGGCCTTGCAGGCTACTACATACACTCCAAAAAACAGTGTTGAAATACCAGCGCCTCACATATTATCCAGTCCTGGGGCATTGCAATTGTTGATTCTTACCACCCAAAAGCTGTCTTCCTCTGCTCTGTCTCAGAGACAGCAAGAAAGCAAAGGGGAGGGAATGGAATTAGGACCCAACCTGTTTTCAAGAACCTCCTACCCAGAAAGTGCAATTTGGCCACCATGATTGTTGGTGTCACAAATGTTGCTCTTCCTTGATTTGGGGCTTTTCATGAGTTCAGGTTTTTTGGTTTTTGTTTTTAACTCATTGCAGAGCTGATGGAACTGTGAATCAAATTGAAGGGGAAGCCACCCAAGAGAACATCACGGAGCCTGCCAAGTTGGGAGTTAAGTTTTTCTGGTGTAAGTATACACTTCTCGCGGGAGGTGTCAGGGACAGGAGATATGCAAAAGGAAGACTAGAGCCCTGGGTCCGAGCACTCCCATCACATCTGAGTGTCACCCACATTGATTCAATGCATAATTATTCGTTGAGCACCTCCTACCTGCCATGCGCTGGGCTAGGCCCTGGAGATGCAAAGATGAGCAAGACAGAGCTGGCCCTTGTGCCTGAGAAGCTTACATGTCAGTGTGGATACTGACGAGCACCCAGGTGATTTACTATGAAACTACAGTAAGTGTATCAATAGAGGAAGCACAGATTGGAAGCCACTGGGCATGAGCCGTAGGAGACCCAAGCCAGTCTTGTTTCCCAGAGGAAACTAATAACTGAAAAATCAGTAGTTATTAGCAGAACAACTAACATGTGAGAAATCTTGGAGGTAAAAGATGATAAGAGTGAAGGTAAGTTGGAGTCCTGGCTCTGTCTGCCATTTTCTAGCCAAATTGTTGGAGTTTCATTTGGGTCCACCTTCCCCTTAACTTTAACAAGCTGGGCAGTGAGTTTTCCGTGGTGTTTGGAAGTGGAGTTACTGAATAATATCCTCTGAACTGAAAAGGAACTTTGAGACTGGAAACAAAGCAGACAACTCCATTAAGAACAATTAAGAAGTTTATTGTGGGTAGAATCAGGTGGATGACCCTCAGAGGCATTCACAGCTGCACTGCATTCCGCCAAAAGGGGGTACAGGGGCACTTAAAGGAGCCAAAGCTAAAAATAGAATGAGTACTAAAGAGAAGCATGTCCACATTGACAGGAACTGAGGGGTTTTCCTCCCCACACCCTCACCCCAGGGGTCTCGTGACCATTAACCACCTGTGTCAGCAAAAGGCATTCTTCCAGTTTTCATGTCAGATGAAGTTTATAGGGAACTAATCTGGCTTGGGTGTATTCCTTGTGAGTAAGCTAAAGCTCAGTCTCACAAAAAAAGGGAGAGGGTAGGACCGCAGGCCTAAGATGGAGCTGACAAAATGGAGCCAGTGTGGTTCGGCCACACACTTGACTTGGACCTTGGCTGTGGAGGTCACGTTCACAGAGGAAGTTTCTGGATTCAGATGGGGAAAGTAAATCCTCCATCTCTCTTAAGGACCGTTTTAATGTTGAGCTTTCAACACTATACAGATGTCAATCAGTGAATCATAACCTGTTACCACCTGATTTACCGTATTCTTAAGAATGGTGGGATTTTCAAAGTTCGCACAAGAAGAAAAACAAGCAGACCAACATTAGCCCCTACCTCCTTCCGTAGGTGGGTTCTAGAGGAAGCTGGGTGGTACAAACTTGGAAAGCCTGGGGCCCCTGACCTTACATTCTTGACTTCGTTTAGCTAAGTGGTGGTTCCATACACACTAGTGCTAAATGCCGCCTGTTGGTCCAGGGCGTACAGCCAAACCTCCCAGGTATTATGGACTTCCAGGTACCAACCTGCAATCAGGGAGGGGAGGATCCAGAATTATGACTCTGAACTCTGGCTGCACACTGGAATCACTGGGGAGCTTTCCAAAGTACCAATAGCCTCCAGTTCAGAATTTGGGAGTCAGGGTGAGGGGAGGTGGGCCTGGTATTTTTCAAAGTTCCCGTAGGATTCCCATGTGAAGTCACAATTAAGAACCACTGATGTAGAAGAATTAGAACCCCAGAGCCTGGCTTCCAGGGTCCTAGAGGTGAAGGTTTCTCTTGCCCTGTTCCCTCCTAATACTGCCTTTCTCTGGTTTTCAGTCATGCCATCAGCTCCATACTGGGTCCTGGCCACCGACTATGAGAACTACGCCCTTGTGTACTCCTGTACCACAATCATCTGGCTTTTTCACATGGATCATGTTTGGATCTTGGGAAGAAACCCTTATCTCCCTCCAGAAACAGTGACCTATCTCAAAGATATCCTGACCTCTAATAACATTGACATTGAGAAAATAACTGTCACAGATCAGGTGAACTGCCCCGAGTTCCTATAACCAGGCTCTAAAGGGAGGCTGCATTCACTCCATGTTCCTTCTTTTGCTTTGCTTTTCCCCTACACCACCCCTCATAAAGACAAACCAAACCACCACAGCAAACTATTACCAATACCAGAAGGGAAATGTGACAGCAGAAGCTAGTGGGGAGGAACTCAAGGCAAGTTGGCCCAAACACTTAGCCATGCACCATCCTGTTACCTTGCAAGCCTGATAATAAACTTGCTGCTGGCCTGCTGTGCTCACAGTAGACTACAAATTGGACTAATTATTGGGAGTTTTTAATTCTAAGCTTATGTTTGGAAATCCTTAAGCAGTTATGTTGAAAAAAAAAAAGAAGCACTGAACAATTTAAAGGTAACAATCTTGTTTCTAGAAAGGGAAAGCTGATAGCAAAGGCACATACCAGGTGACCTGAATCCAGGTGGCCCCATCCTGCAGTAGGCAGTCCATAGCGGGGAATCATTTGGAGTTTTTGAGTCTCTGACAGGCAGTTTCCTGGAGGCATTTACTTTCTTATCAGGAGGTCTTCAGAGTCAGGTGAAGAATGGGACCATCTTGGGTCTGTGCAAGGAAGAAGAGAATCTGTGAGGATGAAGCTATGGGATTTTTTTAAGAAAATAATTTTGGGGTCTTTTATTCAACTGATATTTACTGGGACCCAACTGCATTCCACGCATTGAAAAATACAGAATCCCTCTCCTCCCACAGCAGCTCGCAGACTAGGGAGGGAGATTGACAAGTAAAGACACAATTTTAATCCAAGCTGAGGGGTCCATAGGCAGAGGCATGTGGAGGGAGCCATGGGAGCTCTGAGAAGGTCTCAACCCCTGCCAGGCATAGGTACCTACAAGGTTATACAGTCACATCTCAGAGTGTCCCAGCTTCAGGGAGTCAGGAACCACCAGGAGTTTGTTTTTGTTGTTTTTTACATTTTACTATTAAAATCAGAACAATCTCAAAATCATCACCCTGCCATTACTTTTAGGTCACGTAACATTTGTAATCCACTAATGTTTTGGGAAATGAATAGAAAATGAAGCCATTTGATTAGCTTTTTGCATTTTCAGCATGAGTATAAAATATTTCCTTGAGCACTTGAGACGCTTCACTGCTTTATATTAAAGGTTATAAAATTTCCAATAAACTTAATATGTATAATTTTCATTTTACTAAATAAATATGACCTCAAAATGTAGCTTGCTATTTGAAATTCCTAAAGGCTGAAAACCACTGGACAAAAAGGCAGTGATGGAGAGGTAGGTATTGAAGGAAGAGCCTCTTCCCACAAGCTCGGCCTGCTGTTGCATCTGTGCTTTATCACACTGCCCACCCCACCAGAGGGTACCTGGCTCCTCTTCTAAAATACAGTTCTTTCCAAGAGTGTTAAGCTGCTTATCTCTCTCTTAACTCATGGTACAAGACAAGCTATGATTTGTGTTCCTCTTAACAGCTGTCTGGTAGCATCTAAAACAATGAACATGGCTACATTTTGCACCTTTACAGTGTAGGTATCAGGGGTGATTGAACCTCAGAAAATGGGGGGAATTCAGAGGATAGCATGGGGGCACCAAGTATCTAGAGGAAACATGGGGAAAAACCACACAAAATCCAGAAGGGAGAGCAAGAGAAGGGAAATGGGAAGTAAACAGCAAAATAGAGACAGTAGTAAATCCCCCTGTGCCTACGTACCCATCATCAGCTCCAACAGTCATCAACATCTCACCAATCTTGCTTCAGCTATCACACACCCACCCCCAGTTTTTTTTCATAGAATGTTTTGAAGCAAATCCTAAAGAGCACATCCTATTATTTTGCCTGTTAGCTTACCTAAGGATAAATCTCTAGCAGGTACAGACATTTCTGAAACAACAACAAAAAATACAAGGTTACATTTTATATCCTGCAAGTGCTCAGAGAATATAATTTAATCTATGTAATTTAAAGATTATTTTATATTATTCAGATGAAAGGGAAGATATATGTACAAAAATGTTCATCATACTTTTACTCGTAGCAGCCCCCAAACTAAAAGGAGATAAACTAAAACTAAAACAGCAGAGGAATGAGATCATGAATTATGGAACAGCCACTTGTTGTAATGTGGTGTACTCATTAAAATTCATAGTTATGAAGACTACAAGGCCACATGGGAGCTGTGCCTGCCCGCCCACACTTACCACCTGTGTGTGTGTAGGGGGGTGGAAAAAGGTGGAGGAGGGGAGGAAGAGGAGGGGTCCCGCATGTGGCCTTGCTGCCTGCAGAGACAGAGTCTGGAACATGTGCTCTGCTTACCCAACCACATCCAATAAGACCAAGGTGTGTCCACCAGTGCTAATGACAGCCAATCCACAGGCTGAACAGAAACTTCTGATTTTTGTAGCCTACCTGGATGAAAAAGATAAATTAGGCCAATCTAATCAGAATCTGACTTTAAGAGATCTAGAGAAAGGATAATTGAAAACTCTGTAAGTCATAACCATAAGGTCGTGTAGTTTGGGGTGGCCATTTTTGGTGATGCACAACTGAAATTATGAGAGTGCAGAACAGAAGTGCAAAGATAAGCCCAGACCCCACCCAAGGTCCCACCAGCAGCTTCAGTAGCTGACTGCTGTCTGTGTCCTAGCTCCAGTTCCTGAGTTTGGATTTGTTTAAAATTAGGCACACACACACACACACACACACACACATACCTTTTGTTTTAGGTAATTTGACTTGACTGAATGTTCCTTGCAACCTCAAATAGCCCTAAGACGTAAGTGTTCACTTTTTGAGTGAAAAAAAGAAGGCAGCATTGTACCTAAGTTGTAGTTACATAAAATGTTGGCATAAAATCAAGAACTAAAAGTGAACAGAGAAATGAAAGCAATTAATATGTTAGAATGGTGGATTTACTGAATGATTTATTTTCCTTTTTTATTTTTTCTGTTGGTGTTTGTCTTGTAGGCCCTAAAACTTTAGACCCTAAAACTTCCTCCTAGTTCAGCCTGGCCCTCTAGCAAGTTGAGTGCCAAACCCCAAAGAAACAGGCTTCTTCCAATAATTACCTCAAGCTTCGAGACCTTTCTGGACTCTACTCTTATCACACTGCATTTCCGTTACACCTGAGATGGCGGCTTGATTTGTGAATATAGGACCTGTGATTAAAGCAATCTTTATTTACTACCAACAAGGCCCTCTGTACACTTCTAGGAGGCATGAAGGGAGATAAGTAATTTAGAAAGTTTTTGTTTACACAGTTGTCTAAATGTTGTGTTCTTTTATTTAAAAGTTTCCCCCCAGAGCAATCACTTTCATCTTGATGATTATGAGAAACTATTAACATTATGAATATTTGTTAAATATGGCCAACTTTTATGCTAAAATCAATATTTTGACTAAATATCAAATATGAGATGAAAATAGGTTCATCAGATCTAAGGTTTTCCAGCAGAGCAAGGTGAACTGAACTACTTGGGAGTGCTGAGAGGTGATGTGGTGGAAAGCACACTGGGATGGGATCCAAGGACAATCCCTGCTTCAGTCGACTTAGCCGCGTCCTCCAGCATTCCCCTCCCCTCCCGGCTGTTTCCTCACCTGCGCGTTATGTCATTAAAAAAACTAGATGAGGGCTTCCCTGGTGGCGCAGTGGTCGAGAGTCCGCCTGCTGATGCAGGGGACACGGGTTCGTGCCCCGGTCCGGGAAGATCCCACGTGCCGCGGAGTGGCTGGGCCCGTGAGCCATGGCCGCTGAGCCTGCGCGTCCGGAGCCTGTGCTCCGCAACAGGAGAGGCCACAACAGCGAGAGGCCCGCGTACCGCAAAAAAAAAAAAAAAAAAAAAGAACTAGATAAGGTACCTCTAAGGACTCTTGCAGGTCAAACATTTATAGTTCTGTGCATTATAGTTTTGTACAAGATTAAGTAAATTTTTTTCTACAAGGGAAGGGATACCTGTACCTTTATAGAGAAAAGAAGCCATAAGCTTAAAAGACATAAGCAACTCTTTGAATTGTTTTGTTTCCTAATCCTTATCAATGTATACACACACACACACACGTACACACACTTTGTTTTTTAATCAATACGTGTATCTTTTTTCATACTATATATTATTTGGATGTATACATTTTTCCATAGGGATAAACACATACTACTCACATAACATGTTATGTTCTATAAATGCATTGGAAGTATTATATTTAACTTTCCTGAATTTTCCTAGGCTGCTAATTATAATTCAAGTATAAGAATGCCAAACTTCAGTCAACTCTTCAGCTTCTTCAGAGACCCAGGGGAGTGATAGCTCATTGAATTATTTTTTTTTATCTTTTTTTTTAAAATTTATTTATCTTCGGCTGCATTGGGTCTTCGTTGCTGCACGCGGGCTTTCTCTAGTTGCGGCGAGTGGGGACTACTCTTCGCTGCGGTGCGCAGCCTTCTCCCTGTGGTGCCTTCTCTTGTTGCAGAGCACGGGCTCTAGGTGCATGGGCTTCAGTAGTTGTGGCGCACAGGCTCAGTAGTTGTGGCACACGGGCTTAGTTGCTCCACGGCATGTAAGATCTTCCCAGACCAGGGATCGAACCCATGTCCCCTGCATTAGCAGGAGGATTCTTAACCACTGTGCCACCAGGGAAGTCCCGGTATGATTCTATATATAAAATGGCATATTATTCCAGGATACATACATATGCAATAAAAGTATAATGAAATTCAGAGAATATTAAACACCAAATTCAAGGTTACCTCCAGAGGGTGGAGAGAGGGGATTGCAGTTGGATACAGTAACATAGGTAGCTTCCATTGCATTGGTAATTATATTAGTTTCCTGTAGCTGCTGTAACAAATTACTACAAATTTGTGAGTCTCTTTTAAGATGCTAAATTAAAATGTTTAGAGAGTGACCCCTCCCCCCAAAATTTAGTCTTCAGAGACCTGAAGACTAAAAAACAAAAAAACTTTCAAAAACTGAGTGGATTGGATGCTAACTTCTAGCAGTAGAATTTCAGGCATTGAGGTGAGGACAGGTCAGAGGAGAAAAATTCCAGTCATATTACATAGGCGGTCACCAGCTTCACCTGCTTTTAATCCAAACCTTCTGTCTCCAACCCTTCCCAGGTCAAAAGAGCTGCCAGTGATCTGTGAATCTGCTCTGTCCCCAGAAGGTGACAAATGGGCTCAGGAGCTCCCTAACCAGAATGGGCAGTACTGAAAAAAGCAGGTGCCCACTCCTTTGTCAGCACAGTTCAGCTGTGACTAAGCACATGT